ATAAATCAAGTGCTGAATAGGCGAGCTCTTCCCCTCAAATGGTGTGAAGTTAATCAGGTTGAACTTTGTTGGATACGGTATTGAATCCCATTCTCTTGGATAGGGACATGGAATACCCGTCTTCTTCACTTCTTGAGCCGTCATCAAAGCATTGACTTTGTTTTCAAGCTCTTTCATTTTCTTGTCATCGCCTATGTCTTCATTCGAAGGACGTTGAGGAGAACGAGTTAGACCACCCCCTGTGAGAGGTGCTATTGAGCCACCCTTAATCTCGTTATTGGGAGGGTGCGTTAAACTACCCCCAGCGTTATTGCTATTGGGAGGTGTATCAGCCATAATGACTTCATCCACTTCTGGATCACTGTCCTCTACAACATTCCGAGTGTGGTGGCTGGATTCAAGTCGCTGATTGGACTCAGGAGGTTGAGGCTGTTGAGTTAACAGTTCTCTCATTTGTTGGATAGCCAACTTCATTTCTGTCTTCACTTCAGCTCTAATTTCTTCACGTTGTTTGGCTAGAGCTTCCTGAAGTATTTGAGTGAACTGATCAGCAGTGATTGTGAATACTTCTCTGATTTGTCCTGTGCTAGACATTGTATCATCAGAAGCGATTGCAGAATAAGTGTCCGAGAATTCATCCTCCGAGGACATTCCTTCTTGCATTCTCTTGTAGTCTCTGCGTCTGATAGCTCCTAATTGGAGTCGAGACATCCTTTGAGCAATTCTTGGATTGACTTTTCCTTTCGGGGAAAAGTCGGGATTTGAGTCACTTGAATGCTGTTTAGACTTTCTTCTATCAGCCACGTTGATGGTGACTTCAGGGAATTCATCATTTTGGACAGCTGCTCTTCTTTTGCGGAAATGTCTCGGCTTAGGTTTCGATAATACAGAGACTTTTCGTGGGATGACTTCTCGTTTGAAACAGTCACATTCTGATAATGCTGTTTTAACGAGTCGCGCACAGGAACAACGAGAGTTTATCTCTCGAATAACTCTCTTTCGAAAATTATTCACAACTTCAACTTGATAATACGATTCATCGGTATGATTGCCAAAAAATCGTATCGTCTGTTGGTATGATCTCCCAGGTATGACGATATCATTTGGTGAATGCGTCTTCTTCTGGGGGTATAAAACCTTGTTGGCATTCTCAGGACAATTTATTTTTGTCTTTAAGCGAAAAATTATTCACAACCCCAACTTGATAATACGATTCATCGGTATGATTGCCAAAAAATCGTATCGTTTGTTGGCATGACCTCCCAGGTATGACGATGTCTTTTGGTGAATGCGTCTTCTTCTGAGGGTGTAAAACCTTGTTGACATTCTCAGGACAATTTATTGTTGCCTTTGAACGATCTAAGGTTATGTCGGGAGTCGCACGTTTCGAACCACCCCCTTGTGGGTATGGAGTCTTAACGGGCTCCGAATGATGATTTTGCACAACTCCAGTTTTTGGAATCCAAACTTGGCAGAATTTCGGTGGTTCTTTGGTCACCGTTTCCTTCTTCCATTTTTGTCTTTGTTGTGAGAGAGCACAGATAAGAGCAGCGTCTGCACGACGTTTTCGTATACGTTCTTTAAGGGTTGAACGAGTCCTTTTGATAGGAATCCATTCTTCTGTCATAAATTGTGCAGAAACATGAGTGGTTTGACGTTGAGGCGACCGAATCACTTGATGTTTCCTCGATTCTAAGTCCGCATAGTAACGAACTCCATCGGTTTGTTCCAAGGCTCTAGCCAATTGGCGAGCGCGGCGTTGACGTTGTCTCTGACGAGCTCTTTTTGTCAGTGCCGGTGGGCTTTGATTCAATGACTCTTTAATTGAAGAAGAGTCATTATGAGCAGAGAGGTTGCGAGTGGAATCCTCAGCAACAATCAAGCGAGAGTCTTCATCTGTAGCGTTCGACGGAGTCGAGAACTTGCAGACCCTCTTAGAAGATAAAATCTTCTTGCATTTGTGAGTCAAGGAAGACTTTGAGGATGAGGATGATAAATACTCCTCAAACTTCGCTTGGTCGAATTCGTACTCGACCGTTGATTCAACCGGGATCTTGATCGGCTGCGACACGACGGTCTCGGCAGCGAGACCGTTGGCTCCCACTGTGGTCGCCAGTTTGTTTTCACCAAAAGTTGGTTTTGTTGTCGAATTCATTATATCTTCAGTCGATTACAATAAATTCAAAGAAAACAGCCTTTTTATAAGACTCTTTTACACAACAAAAAGAAAATTACAACTCTTGAGAAAATAAACGCAGGATCGTTGTTTGGATCACTGCTTTCGTGGGATTTTTGCCTGTGCCGGGAGCGCTTTGACTCGTGGACCACCAAATCACAGATTCTGATTGAACCGTGAGGGGTTTATGATTCTGACTTCGTTTATCGAAGTGAGAAATTGAAACGATATCTTATCGATGTAAGATAGTCGTTCTTCTTGAAATCAAGTCAAAGCCTGATTATCAAGGATTGGCCGTAAGATCAGCACCTCTGCTCTCTCTCTGCTCTGGATTGCTCTGGATTGCTCTGAAGTACTCACAATGATCAGCCCCCTGGAAAAATGGCCTTTGGAGGGTATTTATAACCTCCAAGAACAGTTGGCAGAAAACAGGTTCGCGAGACAGCTTTTGCTGTCTCGACGGGCGAGACAGTGTTTGCTGTCTCGCGGCGAGACAGTAAACACTGTCTCGCACGACGAGACAGTAAATACTGTTTCGCGGGGGCGAGACAGTGAAAACTGTCTCGGGGGGGGGAGACAGTGAAAACTGTCTCGCCAGGCGAGACAGTAAAGACTGTCTCGCCAGGCGAGACAGTAAAGACTGTCTCGCCTGTGAGACAGTCTATACTTGTGTTCTTTTGCCTTTTTGGATGATTTCCCCTTGAGCTGTATTTGGATATCTTTCAGCATTTTTTGACGCCTACAGACCCTATTGCCGATCTCCGTGATTACCTGGTTCGTAAATGCAGTATAAGCCAGATGAAATCTCAATGCAGCTATGAGAAGCTCATCTCTACAGTGCTAGCTAAATGCCAGTGTGGAGGCCCAACACCGAGATCCTCTGTCTTCGAGCGATTGTTAGGACTTCTGGAAGCCTCCTCATCTAAAAGAAGACGCTTTCGCCCCAGAAGATAAACTTCTAAGAATGAAGCTGCTAAAGTCACGGTTAATATGGCTAGCAAGAGTAAGGGCAAAGGCCCAGCTGACTCTTCTGGCTCCTCTAATACTGAGTTCTTTCTAGGGCTGAGGGAGTTACTCATTGAAGTGGAGGGTGTCTTTCAACATACCCGTACCCGTACCGACTCATTGACTCCATTGGAATATCAGCATTTAGCGGACATTTCTGATGATGTCGATGAGGAACCTGACAACTCAGCCATTGCAAACTTCCCAAGCATCTAGCACTGATCAAAACGAATGGGCGAGTGCTCATATCGCTGGAAGTGTAAAGGACTTGGCAAAAAAGCTAGAAGAACAACAAGTTATTCTTCTCCAACAACAAGAAACTATCGCGCTCGTGAGGGAGGCGATAGACAAACTCACCAAGGCAAAGGAGAAGAAGAAAAAGAAAACTGTCGATGAAGCTTCAGGATCAAGACATTAGAGACCTTCACCCGGTGCGGAGGAATTTAGCCGTCGAAACCAAGAGGGCGCTGATACGGAGGATGCTGATAAAGAGATTTTTAGAACTCATTCTGAATTATCAGAAGTCGAATCCAACCCCCGTGAGAAGGAGCAAAACCAGAAGTTGGATGACTTCCAGAAGCAACTAGATGCATTGAAGCTTCTGGGAAACTTCAAGGAATTGAGGGTGACTAGGCCATACCTCGCTAAATGGGACGTTGTCCATTATCCTCCGAAATTTAAGTCACTCAATCTCCTGTAGTTCGATGGTAATGGTTCTACTGCCCAACATATCTATTACTTCCAGGCGCAAACTGGACACATAATGGGGAATGACCCCATTGTGTGTGTATATATCATTTTAAATAAATAGTGAAATAGGAAAAAATAATTTAAATATAATTTAATATATACGAATACAAAGTTAATATAGTTTAGAAGTTAAAAATAAAAAAATAGAAAAAAGTTGAAAAACCCGGGTCGCACGACCCATAGGCCATAAGCCGCCCTCCCGACCCCCGGCTCGCCTTTAGGCGGGTCATGGGCCGAGACGGGTCCAATCCCAGCCTTGGAATTAGAGAAGTAGGCCCAGCCCGCTCTTATCAGACCCAGCTCTACCTTGAACCTGACAGGTCGGGTCACGGGCCTGAACCGACCCGGCCCACGCCCACTCCTACATTCAATAGAAAGTCTTGAAAGTGTAAATAATTAATATAAGATATGTATTACTATGATTAAAAAGTACGGAATAAAATGGATAGACTTACAAAAGGCTATTTTCACTTTGGTCTTCCTAAGCTTACCCTAAATTTTAACTTTTTACATCTCAAAACTTTTCTTTTTGACACTTTGACATTCTAGAGTTCCTTGAGTTTCATCCGCCTTTAACTTAGTATTCTCCTATATTTTGTTTAGTTTTATGTCAAGAGTGTGTGTATCACATGCTTAGCATACATATTTAGGACAATTGTACCCCTATGCGAAAAAAAAACCCTTCCCCGATTTTTAAATGTTGTTTGGTGCAAATCTATTTCAAATCTGACTCCTGGTACCAAAAGTTAAATGAAATTGGGCATCAAAGCGACAAATTTTTTTTGCTGTATCCAAGGATCAAAGTTAAGAAAGTTAAACCTTGGAGTAGAAAAGCGAAAATAAGCCTTAAACAATAATAATCAACTAAACTTCAAATTAATATCAACCCAATATAAATTATAATTCTTTCTAAGTTTAGGAACAGAGATTGCGATTCATAAATTTGCTAATTGCTCTAATATCTTTTACTAACTACAATTATTATTTATTACTAGCAAGATGATTAGATTCCTGAGTATAAAACGTCCAACTATTTAACCAATAAAATCCCTATCCAATAAAAAGGACCCCAAAAAAGAGTACGAAAATAAAAGAGAAGCCGAGGTTGAAGAGCACAAGACGCAAAGAACAAAAACCATGAAAAAAATCAATGGAAAATTGAAAATTTGAAGGAGGAGGAGATCGAAGCGTCGATCGATGGGGAACAAAATCGCTCGAACGACTCAAGTCTCAGCATCGGAGTACTACCTCCACGATCTCCCCTCCTCCTACAATCTCGTCCTCATCGAAGTCCTCGGCCGCGGCCGCTTCTTTAAATCGATCCTCTGCAAGCACGACGAGGGCCTCGTCCTCGTCAAGGTCTACTTCAAGCGCGGCGATCCTCTCGATCTCAAGGTATTTTGATTCTGTTCTCGAGTTCGTGCCCTGGTTTTTTATTTTACCCTAACTTGGGAAGTAATTTGTTGCTTGGATAGGAGTATGAGAGGAAATTGGCGAAGATTAGGCAGATTTTTCACACGATTCAGCATCCGCACGTCTGGCCGTTTCAGGTGAGTTTTAATTTTGCTCTGATTTTAGGTTGAATACCTTGTGTATTGTAAAAGTTGGGTTTTTTTTAGTGATTTCGCTACGTTTTTTGCTGTAATTTGGGTGATTTGGAGTGATTCGCCTTTTTGGTTGTACTTATTCCGAATTAGAAGTTTCATATTAGATATTTAGCATGCATGATTTGTAACTTGAATGATTTACAATCTTGGACGTTGCAGACGAGTCTTAGATTTACTCTTACTTCTAGTTGAATACCTTGTGTTTTGTAAAAGTTGTGTTTTTTATCTGGTTGATTCAGCGTGATATGCCTCTTTAGTTGTAGTCTTGTGAATTAGAAACTCCAGTATTAAATTAGTAATGGATAATTGGTAATTTATCTTGTTTAAATTTTGTGGTCAATCTCATGGCAATTTACAGGTTAATTGAAAGCATCATGAAGTGACTGTAAGTTAATATGTTTTCTCAGGGAATCTCTTATCTTTTGTCGTCTTTGCATTTTTTAGTGTGAAACAGCGGATTCCCGCCGAATAATGGGGGCAAATTATGAAATAAAATACACAGTCAAATTCCCAGAAATTACCCACTCATCCCACTGTTAAACTATTTCTTGATGTAATGGTTTATGCTAAATAGGATTGGAAACAACTGAAGTTCAGGTGGTACGAAACATATTTAACATAGTAAGTAAGTAGTTACTTTAAATAGCGTTATGAATTTATAGCTCCTTCCTTCTCTCTGTGTTTCTATTCCTTGACTCGGAAAAAAAAGAAAAAGAAAAAGAAAAAGAAAAAGAAAAGAATATTAAGTCAAAACTCTTAATCTAAACTCAATCCTCCTCTTCAAGAAATTGATTTGATGACCTTCTTAACGGTTCCTTCATCGTTATGTTTATGCTATTTCTTTCTTGAATATTTGGTGTCATTATGAGGGTTTTAGCTTATATGGTAATGAGCAAGTAATCTGTTCCATGGTATCCTCTTTCTATGTCGTTATTAACACTATCTTTCCGGTAATCAACTATGAAGAGTAAAAGGTACATGGTATTTAATTAGAAGAGGTTCTTCCCTGAATTGATATTTTATTGGGAAATACTTGATCTTTAGCATTACATAATTTGATATTGAGATTTACCATATGTTCTATCAAGACAGTGCATATGTTCTTTGCATTTCAAGGAAGAATCTCTTTGTCAATCTTTCCGTTATCGTAAGCGCTTTAAGAATTTATTTGATTGTATTGCTAGTTGAAATGGGTATTGTTATACTCCAGCCTTTAGCTGTTTTGTAGCTGGCATATTAATTTCTGAGTTTCTTTTTTTACCTTGACATGCTTAATTTATACTTTTTGAGGTGTAGTTTTGGTTGGAGACTGATAAGGCGGCATATCTCTTGAGGCAATACTTCTTCAGCAATCTTCATGATCGGCTAAGCACACGGCCCTTCCTCAGTCTCATTGAAAAAAAATGGCTGGCGTTTCAGGTACTTTAGTTATGATATTTTGCTGCCAAAAGAAGAGAAGCAAGATGAGGGAGGAAAAGAGAACTTTGTCAGTAGTACATAAATGAAACTTTTTTTTAATACATATAAACTCTATCAGTTTACCAATAAATTATATGATGGTTTGGTAAACTGTAGGGTTATTAGCCATAAGGTAGATTACCCTGATAATTTCTACATTGGGTTCTGAAAAATTATTTTATCTTTTCTCCCAATTGGCGATAGCAAAGCTAGAGACTGCTCTGCTTTCTATTCATTTTTCACGTAAAAAAATTTGTTCCTGATTTGTTTCAGATATGGTTGTCGACTTAGCTCATTTGGTTGTGCAGTTACTCTGTGCGGTGAAGCAGAGCCATGACAAGGATGTTTGCCATGGTGAGAGAACATTTACTCGAAGCAAATTTGTCTCTACTGTCATTTAGGAGGTGATTCTTAGCAATGTCGCCTATGTTTATAAATGTAGGTGACATCAAGTGTGAGAATGTTCTTGTCACCTCTTGGAATTGGCTGTACCTCGTGGACTTTGCTTCCTTTAAGCCAACCTACATACCAGATGACGACCCTTCTGATTTCTCGTTCTTCTTTGATACTGGAGGGAGGAGGCGTTGTTATCTTGCACCAGAGGTCAGTTTTTATCCTTCTAGTTATTCAACAACCTGATACACTGCCATTCTTAATTCATTTAAAAAAAGTACAAACTCAGCTCTGAATAGAAAGATAGGATTTCTCTTAATTTATGTTTTCTACATTCTTTTTGTTATTTTACTTTTAACTTTATTATAATAAATTGTCCTTGGTGGTTTTTGTCGCTAAAGTCCCACTAAACCCAACAGCCTTAGCCCTACTCTCCTTCTTAACTACATTATTTTGTGTCCACAACATTGAAGTCATCATAATCAGAAATACCTGTAATGAGAGGTTCCCTTTGTCTTCTATTATTTTCTAAAATAGAAGAAAACTGAATAAAAGTTGAAAGAGCATCATATTTATAATAAATGCTGAAAGTTAAAAATGAAATTCTGATTATCCGACTTGTTTTATTCTCCAAACTTTCCTCATTTATATCTTCACATGACAGATAGGTACTTTGCTAGCTCTTCTTTGTGATTTTTTTATCTTCATGTGTAATTTCCTATTGACAAAGCTTGTTTTTTCTTGCCCTCAATAGATATGTAACATATAATGTGCTGATTACATTGATTACATTCTCCTTTGGGTTGGGTGGATTTTCTATTCATTTTGTTGGGGAGAGGGTTGGGGAGGTTATCAGCAATAAAAAAATGCGAAATTTCATCTTGAAGAGTTGTCATGTGACTAGCATAAAACATAATTGTTTTCACATTTTTCAGCGATTTTATGATCATGGAGGTGACACTCAGATTTCACAAGATGCACCTTTGAAGAAATCTATGGACATCTTTTCTCTTGGGTATGCTTTCTCTTGTCATTTATCATATTCAGCTTTGGATGAGGCATTCCTTTACCTGAATGCAATGACCATAAGTTCGAACCTTTTTGTAATCAGTGTGGTTGAGTTAAAGGATATTACTATCATATAATACATGGAAATCTTTTGCAAGAGTAAACAATTGCTGTTTTCTAATCAGGTCTTTTTATGATATTCATCTGATATTCTATTACAAAAATAACATACAAAATTTACAACTATGTCTGTTTATGTTGTAATGATCATATAATTGACTTAAATATAAATGATGCATAACACACATGTAGTATGTCATGTAACTTTCTTACCTTATTCGAAATTGGAAACCATAGCTATATGCTTGAAAGTAGAAAAGCATGCTTATATGGAAAAAATGGGTATGAGGTCACTGCTCATTTTGCAAAATGATCTAGCAAGAGATACACATGTGATTAGGCTCATCCTAATTGTCACGTTAAAAGGTGCGGACCTCATCACTTTGTCTCGATAGCTTATTTCGCTAAATGAGCTGCCACCTCACAGCCATCAAACCATACTTCTATTACAAGCATATAAAATTTGCTCTTACTTAGTGGGTACTGGAAAGAGGTTTTGGAATTCATATAGAATGATATTGAATTTGATATTTAATACCACAACATTCTATTCATGATAGAAGTCGGACGTCTTGTGGGTAGAAAGAGAATTAGTTGAAACGGAGTGGTCACATTCAATGAAGATCAGTAGATGTGCCTGTTAATGGCGATAGCATATTAATAAGACTTGAATAGCTGTTAATGTAACCAAGGAGTTGGTCCTCGATGGAGATGAGTGGCTAAAAAAGATTCATACACAAACTTTGAAGGTTTGAATAGATGATGTGGAATATGGAGCGACATGATTATACGCGTATATGTGGTTGCTTTTACTTTCTTAGTGATATAAATTGACAGTTAAGGTTTTAATGAGAACTTATTGAAGAAGGGTATTACCTTTGATATAAAATAACACCACATCATCCTACTCATCATCAGAGTTGGTCTTTTGGAGGGCAGAACAAGAACTGGTCGAGATCAGAGATGGGGCGGGCACATACAAAGATTGATAGGTGTTCTAGTTCATGGTATAGGATCGTAGTTAGTGTAGCAACAGGACTCAGAGAATGCCTAATGAAGGTATTAGAAAGAAATAATGTGTTAGTTGTTAGCTTAACAGGGAGGCAATTCTCAGTATAGCTGACCAAAGAAGAAAAAATCATGTTATTGACCCTAAAGGTTTCAACTCATATAGAAACTTTGGAACGCTGGAAGTGGCCAAACAAGCCTTCTATTAGGTGGCAGAACCAAAAAAGGAACCATTCACCATTACCTTATTTATAGACATGTGGAAGTTGTCAGAAGTTTTTTCCCCTCCCAACACAGTTCTTGCTTTTAATGGTGCTGATTGTACCCCCTGATCTGTCCAGGGCGGGGTAAGGTCATTGGAGGTCCCACATTTCAATAAAGGGTGACAATTTTTGTTTAAAAAAACCGGGGGGAAGAAAAGAAGAAGAAGAAGGAATAATTATCCTTGAGGATCCAGTATGCTGTAAATAGTGAACATGGGTTGATGATGAGCACTGTATTTTCCAGTTATCCCTATTAATACTGCTGCAGAGAATGTATGAAGTTATTTGAATAAAATTTCTATAAAGCAGAATTACCAATGGTCTACAAAGTTTTGTGAGAAGTCTTTCCTTGCTCGTGTTCCCTTCAACGAATCCAGCATCAACTAATATTGGTCCGATCGTCTGATTGATACTCACGAACACCTCATCAATTCTTTTGTGATGCTTTCTTTTCTCTAAATCTGCATCTCACAGCAACACATTTCTTGATTGGAAAATGCTGAGATGGTGATCCTAATGGTAATGATTCAAGGCCATCTCCAACCACACATTTCTATGCGTGAACATGTTGGTGCTAGCTATGTTGTAGGCAGCAAGGTGAAACGACCGTGGCTTTTATGAAATCAAGTTACCCATCTGTCTGGAGCAGTAACATGGAAAAAATTTCAATGAATATTTGGTCCACTTCATGAATATATTGTTTGATAACATTTTTCATCTAAATGTTTTGATGCTCACTGCAGTAGAAAAGAACAAGATTTTTTTATTTCTGTGAACATGGTAGTAGAATTTCAGTGGTTAGTAGAATTTGTAAATTTTTTTTACAGACAAGCTACCCATTGTGCTCCCTACTTTTTATTAGGAAAATATGCTTCTATATGTTATATAAAAACAGGATTATTCTTGTTTATTTTGACACCCATCAATAGTTAGTTGAAGATTCAGTAGTTTGATTCTTGTGGGCATTACCATTCATTGGACATGTTAAAGGACACTGTCATTGTACTCTCAAATCTTTAACTTCAGATGGTTCTCATACTGTTGACTGATATTTAAATCAGGGTTTCAGTGTTTTTGTCTAGTAGTATGTATTTTCCTACTTATGCTGAAGTGGTTTTACATCAGTCAATGATTTTTTAGTAGTACATGCTTCTCATATTGATTATTCAGATCAATTTTCATTCGCCAAATGACAAATTTCCTTTTTGGATACTTTGAGAATACATGTCTGTGATGATTTGATTTGAAGTATCTTAATCTGACTGAAAAGATAGGCATGGTGTCTGTCTTTCAATTTTTCATCATGTTCAGACCTGAAAATTTTTAAGTAAGTCGAATATCTTTTTGCAGTTCTTGATTCTTTTTAAAATTTATCGATATAATTTTTTGCATAGTGATTCTTAAATAAAAGAGGCTATGCAGTCTATTAATGATTTGCAAATATGAGCACATCTTTTCCTTTCAGGTGTGTTATTGCTGAACTTTTCCTCGAGGGGCAACCACTTTTTGAGTTATCTCAACTCCTTGCTTATCGCAGAGGGCAATATGACCCTACTCAATACCTTGAAAAGGTAGCTGTTTATTGTTTGTTCACTTAATTTCTTTTCTTTTTTCTTTTCCTTATGGCTATTTTCTATTGCTTTATTTTCCATCTGCTTGGACAACAATTGTTTATAAAATGCCTTTGCCTAACCTTAACTTGGGATGATATTAGAATGCCCTGTCACTAAACACCAGATGTCAAAACTGAGGTGTCTGAGTTTGTGCATTTAGAGGACAGGGGACCAGATGAGAACTAGCTATCTAAATCCATTAGGCATCCAATATATCAACATGAATCTGATATATTGGCCAAAACCACGTACAATTTGCGCATATAAAACAGACAGTCATTATATTACTAAACCCGTCATCAGTGAATCTTAGGTGATAGCTCATGCAAGATGTTTTATGGAAAAAAAATTTATATATACGTATGACATTTGGTACACTTGTAAAATATCTTGAAAGTTATTGATTGTATAACATTTATGCTTCTATTTGCATTCATGTTCAAATTTGTGATTTTAGTTGTTTTGCCTTTTTTTATTTAATAATTCATCATCCGCTTAACACTCTGGAACTGTTCAGTTTTGTCTCAATTCCTTTCAAAAATCGGATGGTATATATATTTTATACTTCTCATCCTGCTTGTATGCTTCTAAAAATTTCCAAACTGCTGGACAATTTTCTTGTTGCAGATACAAGATACCGGAATACAGAAGATGATACTTCATATGATTCAGTTGGACCCTGAATCGAGGCTGTCATGTGAAAGCTATTTGCAAAATTATACATCTGTTGTATTTCCAAGCTATTTCTCACCATTCCTGCACAAATTCTTCTCCTGCCTAATCCCTCTTGACTCTGATACAAGGGTGAGAAGTTGCTATACTTCAATATCTGTGAATGATAGGCTATTGAGAACAATATACTCATAGTAAGCTGTAAATTTTTATTTTGTAGGTTGCAGTGACACAGAGTGCTTTCCGTGAGATACACAATCAGATGATGAACAGTAGATCAAGTGAGGAGGATGTTTTACCTGGGTCATCACCAGATGTCGGCCTCATGAATAGTCAATCTGTCCTAGACAGGGAAAATGGGAGACATAACATGAGTTCGGCTGGGGACTCTGCGAGAGATAAAGACCACCTAAATAGAAGCAAAGTTCGTGGAGAAGTTCAGCTTGTTGGAGATATTACTTCTCTTGTGAGAGAAGTAGAACAAAGGGAACGTTGTTCGCATACAAAAACCTTTCCTGACAAAGTGCCAAATGCTTCTTTCTATCATCACAGTGGAAAATCTCTGTCAAGTCTACAATCTTCAAATGATCTGAAGGAATACAAGGAGAAAGAAATGCCCCTTTTCAGGAAAATATTGAAAAGTGATCTCAATTCTTTGATGGCAGGACACAATAGTCGCTCAGATACTTACGGGATACCCCATTCCCCAGGTACAGAATGTAAACGGAGTTGTGAAGGTATGGTGCTGATTGCCTCACTCCTTTGCTCATGCATAAGAAGTGTCAAGCAGCCACAGTTGAGAAGGGCAGGTGTGCTTCTACTAAAATCCTCTTCCTTATACATTGATGATGAAGATCGTTTGCAGCACGTGCTTCCATATGTTATAGCAATGCTTTCCGATCCAGCTGCAATTGTGCGTGCTGCTGCCTTGGAAACGTTGTGTGATATTTTGGCTTTGGTCCAAGATTTCCCTCCTAGTGACGCCAAAATATTTCCTGAATACATACTTCCAATGCTATCAATGCTTCCAGATGATCCAGAGGAAAGCGTCAGGATATGTTATGCTAGCAACATTTTCAAGATTGCTCTGACAGCTTATAGGTTTTTACTTCGCGCACAGAGCTTAACTGAAGCAGGGACCTTTGATAAACTAAGTGTTCATCAGAAGCCACCATCTCCTACCGCAGAATCGACAGGAAAGAAGAATAGTGAGAGCAGTGATTATCAGCTTGCTCGGCTGAGGAAATCCATAGCTGAAGTTGTGCAAGAGCTAGTTATGGGTCCAAAACAAACTCCAAATATCAGAAGGGCACTTCTGCAGGATATTGGTCATTTGTGTTATTTCTTTGGTCAGAGGCAAAGTAATGACTTCTTGCTGCCTATCCTTCCAGCATTTCTTAATGATCGGGATGAGCAGCTACGAGCAGTTTTCTATGAGCAGATTGTTTATGTGTGCTATTTTGTTGGTCAAAGAAGTGTTGAGGAATATCTATTGCCCTATATTGAGCAGGCTCTAAGTGATGATATGGAGGCTGTTATTGTTAATGCATTGGAATGCTTGTCCATGTTATGCAAAAGTGGTTTCTTGAGAAAAAGAATACTTCTTGACATGATTGAACGATCATTTCCCTTGTTATGTTATCCAATCCAGTGGGTGAGAAGGGCCATTGTGAATTTTATTGCAGCAAGTAGCGAGAGCTTGGGACCTGTAGATTCTTATGTTTATCTGTCTCCAGTTTTACGCCCTTTTCTTCTCAGAGCCCCAGATTCACCGTCTTCGGAGATTTCTCTCTTGTCATGTCTCAAGCCGCCGGTCTCAAAATTGGTATTCTACCAAGTTTTGGAAAATGCCAAGAGTTCTGACATGTTGGAAAGACAAAGAAAGATATGGTATAACTCGTCTGCAAACACTAATCAGTGGGAATCAGTTGAGCATACAAGAAGAGTCCCTGGAGGAGATCTGAATCCCATGAAGAGTCCTGGGAGTAAAGAATCAAATGTACAAAATGGTAAATATGCTGGTGGTGCGGTGCTGAAAGCATCTTCACAGGATACCGAGGATGTTTCTAAGTTAAGAATGGGAAATTCTTTAAAATCTGCAAATCCAGGGAGTATTAAGGATTCTTTTGCATCTGATAAGCTGCAATTTTCTGGATTTATTTCGCCACAAGTCAGTGCAGGAAACAGTTTCCTTTTTGATGGACCATCAGAAGACATACCCTTGTACTCCGTTAGCATGGATAAGCATGCAGCAGGAGCACTCTCTCCTGGTCCTGATTCCTCATTGCATTGGAATTCTTTAGGAGTTGATATTTCAAACATGCCTTGGTTCGACCCTGGTAATAAATCACTGGAATCTAGTTCAATGCCACCCAAGCTTGTTTCAGGTTCCTTCTACGACATCAGCAATAACTCTAAGCGGATTCCAAGATCATCCCAAGACTCAGAAACCAAGGAGAATACTTCTCAATCTTGTTGTATCAGCAGTAGGTTTCAGAATGTAAATGTTTCTGACACAATGAAAGGAAGTTCATCCATTACTGGTGAAGATGATTCACAGTCCGAGCTAACTGGTTTGACTTCCTTTTCAAGAGCACCATCAGTTCCTGATAGCGGGTGGAAACCTCATGGGGTTCTTGTGGCACATCTCCAAGAACATCGCTCTGCTGTGAATGATTTAGCCATATCAAATGACCATACCTTTTTCGTAAGTGCATCAGATGACTCTTCTGTCAAGATTTGGGATACAAGAAAGTTGGAAAAGGACATTTCCTTTAGATCTAGATTGACTTACCACCTTGATGGCAGTCGAGCTTTATGCGCTTCAATGCTTAGGGGTACTGCACAGGTCGCGGTTGGTGCAAGTGATGGAGCACTTCACTTGTTTTCAGTTGATTATATATCAAGAGGGTTGGGCAGCGTAGTTGAAAAATATTCAGGTATTGCTGATATTAAGAAGAAAGATGTTGGAGAAGGTGCGATACTTAGCCTTTTGAACTGCTCTTCTTTTGATAGTTTTGTCAGCCAGACATTATTATATAGCACTCTTCGTTTCGGAATCCATCTCTGGGACATGAGATCGAATTCTGCATCCTGGGATTTTATAGTGACACCTGAGGATGGATACATCTCTTCTTTAGTAATGGGTCAATGTGGAAATTGGTTCGTGTCTGGGTCGTCGAGAGGTGTGCTAACACTTTGGGATCTGAGGTTTCTCTTACCTGTCAACTCATGGAAGTATTCCACTGTTTGCCCTGTGGAGAAGATGTGTTTGTTTATACCACCTGCTAATGCTATCTCTGCAATGGCAAGACCACTTGTTTATGTTGCTGCCGGCTGCAATGAAGTTTCCCTCTGGAATGCAGAGAGCGGAAGCTGTCACCAGGTGCACAATTTTCTGTGACTTAAAATGACATGAGCTAGTATTCTATCCTCAACAAGTTGGAAAGTCAAGGTTTATCAAGCATCTTAATTGCATTTACCCAAGTAAAACAAATTGGATCTGCAACCCCATGATTCTACTGCATGAGTTCCAATATGACCTCAAATTTCAGCTACAGCTAAACGTAGACTCTCTTTCTGTAGAGTTAACTGCGGATAGAACCATGTTCTATCGGTGCAGATAGATCCCCCTGTAGTATTGCCCAAACTCCGGATAGACCGCCTAAGTGAATTTTTTTTACTCTTTAATCCTTGGAGTCTATTTATAATAATCATAATAATATGAACAATAGCAGCAGCAATGATAAACTATTTCTCTTAGGGTAAATGAGTGGAAAAAAAAAAATTCACATAGGGAGTCTATCTGCAACAATAGAACTACAGGGGGTCTATTTTCAAGTGGGCGATGGTACAGGGGGTCTATCCACAATTAGCCCCATTCTTTATGTTGGTTTATATTTTAAAGAACAAAAGAAGTTCACATGTTCCTGTACATATATGTGTTTATTGTACTGTACTCGAAATTATTTGTGATAGAGAGTCCGTTTACAGGTATTCAGAGTAGCTAGCGGTGAGAATGATGCTGAAATTTCCACTATTCCTCTTGCACTAGCAAGGCCTTCTAGCAAGACAAATCCTAACAAAGATATGAAACAAAGTACCAATTCCAGATATAGGATAAATGAGTTGAATGAACCAACACCTCGACTTCCAGGCATCCGTTCATTGCTACCTTTGCCTGGGGGAGACCTATTGACTGGGGGAACAGACTTGAAGATACGCTATTGGGATCATACCTGGTTCTATTTTGACCATGAGACTTACTTGACTTATCAAAGTACCGTTATTATTTTAATTTTTGAATTTTTTTTTTTGACTTTACAGTCCAGATCGGTGTTACTCTGTTTGTGGACCATCGATGAAGGGTGTTGGAAATGATGAGTACTATGATATAAGATCTAGTTCTGGGGTGCAAGTTGTGCAGGTATTTTTCATAAATACTGCCAGTCTTTTCAATTGCTGATGTGTCATCTCCCGTTTAAGCTATAAACTCTCATACATGAGCATATATTGAACCAGTTGGCACTGATTCTTGTAACTGAACCATCTTAAATCATAAGCAACTTTGTAAGCATCTCATATTGACTTGCTGGCTGCTAACTTACAAAATTGTGAGGAAACATATGGTTTTCAGAGATTTTAAGACTTTTAATTTCGAGTTATTAATAAACCTTGAGCAGGCCTTAAATGGATTAATGGCCGAATTTTATGTGATCATGGCATGTTTCTAATGACATAAAGCGATGATTGCATGGATGATTGAGCACATGCCTATTAATAATACAGATAACTGTGAGGAGCCTCGTTTATGGGTTCTGTTGGAGTTGGTGCAAGGCAACTAACATTTTATCATATTGGTCCCTCACCTAAAATCTAACCTATTTTAAACCAAGACTTCCAAGACATGTATACATTAAATAACTTCCAACTCACGTAACTCATCTCACTATCTCAGATTAGGTCCTCAGATTATAAATCTGTTAAACCCTAATTTTAACTAAATGCTGTTATTTCCTCATCTTCCTTAGCTATTAATACTAGATAAGATGTGGGTTTCTGGGGACTTATTTATGATATGTGACCAATGTGAGAATACTCCTTCAAAATTTAGGTACAGCTACATCAGATTTTTGTGAACCTAATACTTTGTTGAACTCAATAATAGAAATGATAAAATATTCTGCTATAATTTTGCTGCAGGAGTTGAGCAAGCGACCTATGGCAGCCAAGTTAAACCAGAAAGCTCTTCTTGCCGTGGCCTCTAAAGATACAGCAGGGTGCCACCGTGATTCCATTCTCTCGCTTGCTTCTGTAAAGCTAAACCAAAGGCTATTGATATCTAGCAGCAGAGATGGTTCCATCAAAGTTTGGAAGTAGGAAGCTTTATGCAAAGCTCTATGTACATATATGTAACTCATTTAGTTATATCATATCAAACGAATATATTGTATTTATCATTGTAAAGACTGGCTGATTAATATATTAGCAGAGTGTATGAATTTTCTTTTTTCCTTTATAATACATTCATGTTTACCCTGGAGGAGAGAAGTGTGTGTAAATATCTAAATCTCGCAGGTATGGAAGCTAGAGTTGTCACCAATTAGCATGACATTTTCTTTTCTTATGGTGGCTTGTATGATCATTGTGTGCTATTATTGAAGCATGATTGTTTGCAATGATTTTAGTGTTACATGATCCTGTTATGCTAATGCCGTAACAAGGGCCAGTTTGGAAATACCAAAGCTAGTTTGGATGCAGAAACTACAATTATTTTTAAATAAGCACAGTATTTTCTTGTCTTTTGCTGGGTGAAGCTGTATTGTGGTTGTATGATCGTTAATGTTTTCTTCTAGAAAGCGTGTAACATGTCTGCAATAATGATTGAATGCTACATTTTTCTGTTAAGCTAAATGACATAACAAGAGCCGGCTTGGAAATAGGCGGCTTTTTTCCATAGCTTATTTGAAACCGTGTAGAGGTTCATTTTACCACCAAAGAAACATTTCCAAATTGCTTCAGTGCGCTTCCCTAGTTTAGACAAAACCAAAGAGCGTAGGGAAAAACATATGTGCCCTCTGCATCCAACCCATTGTGTCATTGGCACTGAAGGGCAGAAGTCTCTAGAAGCCCGCTTCTTTATCTTGCTTTTCTTTTCTTTTTCTTTTCTTTTTCTTTTTTTTAATTTATTTTCAAGCTCCTTTTCACCGATCCTCCGTGATCATTAGCAAGAGTAGAATGTAGGGATGCAATGTTCATAACATCTATTTCTATTTCACCAACCCGACTGTTGTAAAGGAAATACAACAAGTTCTTCCACTCCTTAAACTTAACTGAACTAATTGCATAAACCATCAATACGGCAAGGGAAGAGAGGGAAGGAAACCCTCTCCATTCTGGCAAGAGCACTTCTTTTGGAGCGGTTTATTCATCGGACCAATACGGAATTACATGACGGGCTCATTTTATCGTCATGATCAGCATCCGTTAGACAACGGAAAAAGTAATGTGTACAGTCATTGATCAGCTTCTGCTAAACATTGGCGCGCATGACTGATAACTCCTCAGTGAGCAAAGGAATGGGCGAATGATGTCATGTCTTGCATTTTAATAACAATAAAAAAGATGGAATAGATAATGCAAGTGAAAAGAAGCAAATGCCAAAGGTCTGCGATACAACATATGAAATACCTTGTCCCACAATGAGCTTCGTTATGGGGTATCAAAAAGCTGCTGTCAAATAAACTCTGTTAGAATCATTAAGACTCAACAAGGAAAGTGGCCAACAAAAATACTCAACACATCAGCCCAGATTCACCTCCAGGTTTGCTTGATTTCCAAAGGCACATAAGAAAAAAAAAAGGACCGAACAAGTCACTTATTAAAAATCATTTGTTGTATAATTTCTGAGGCATGATTATTGTCAAAGAATTTGTATAAATTTCCATTTACACAAAGATTAAACGATGGAGCTCAGAGAAGGCAGCAAAACTGTAGAAAACCTTCAGACGCGTCTTCAGGATTTGGAGATAAACTTTCTCCTCTCGGCCATCGCCTCTAGTGCATATATATAAATGTACACACTTGTTCCAACCCCCATCTCTCATCTCTTCCTTCTCTGTTCGGGACTTTTGGATCAATGGTTTTTCTTGCCACCCGCCAAAATCCGCGAGATCTGGAGGCCTCGGCTGAAGGCTTGGTTAAAAAGAAGTCTTGTTTGGAATTCGGAGACGAAGGGGAACCAGGCAAGGATAGCAACCGGCATAAAAAGTATAACACCCATCAAATATTCATAGCCTCTGCCCAAAGCTTTCACAGATCCCCATAACCCCACAGCCTTGACAAACGGTCTGCACGCCTGTGCTATCTACTCTCCGACACAAAAACAGGGAATCAAATTGAATTCTCAGGTTCATTTTATCTCATTTTGATAGTTAAAACTTAAAAGGTTTCATTGCGGATAGACCCCTTGTTAAAATTTTCCTTCTTTATAAACTTCAAATAATGTTAATGGTATTTACAAGACGACAACAATTTATAGTTAACGGACTTGAGGCAAAAAAAAAAAAAAGTACCTGTAGCAAGGCCCATCCTGTTGGGATGAACGCAAGGAGACTAGCGAAGATGTCACCCACGGTGAGATGGAGGAGGAGGAAAAGAATGAACATAGTTCCTATAGTTCCAATGAAGAGGAACAACTTGAGCAACCTGAACATGAGCTGGAAATCAGCACTAAACGTCTTCCTGCCCATTGAGACCACCTGAAACAAAGAAACTCATTTAGCACAAAAGCACACAGTGATGACATACACCAGTGGAGATTGAAGGCAACAGGCTGACCTTCAGTATTAGCATAACTGCGACAATGACAAGCCAAGAAAAACCGTAGACCTGCCAATAAGAACAAACTTTTAAGGTCAAATTCACTATGAAGTCAAAGCTATCAGTGTGTTACTTATACTTCATTTAATCTTAACACAAAGCAGCTTTCCAAGCATATTACTCCATAAATAGGTCATATTAACCATAACCAAAAGATTAGCTGCAACTGCACCTTGTCTAGCCTGCGTCTAACTCAAAAGATATATTTACCCTTTCGGTTTACCATAGTTTCTTTCATGTGTCCAAGCAACATCTAAATTACACATCAATAACATGAGTAAATAAAGGAGGAAAAGGACCAAAGTAAGGTGAAGGAAACATACTATGATACTCTTGCTGCCATCGGCTATATGTAGGTGATAAACAATTGCATACTGGAAGATGAAGAATCGTAAGGAGAGAACGACTTCCCAGAATCGACCCAAGAACCCAGTTGACATCAAATGCTCCTGTTCTTCATCCCACCAAGACTCCCAGCTCTTGGTTGAGGGCACACCTATTCCTCCTCTGCTAGTTATCCACTTGTTCCAATCATCCCAGTCCTCAACAATTTTTTGCCACTCAAAGCCTGATGGATTGAACAAGAATGGGGCAAACAACCACGTAAAGACCAGGAACCACATTGATGCAGTGATAAGCATGAAAGTGACCGTGTCGGCT